ATATTTCTACAATACTAATTTATAAACATTACAATATTAATAAATCTATGAATATAACATTTCTCCCCTTACAGCCTTTCTATATAAAAGACTATATTGCGGACAGATCCATATAAAGTTGTACGTTTTTGAAATTGATATGAATTATAGGATTTAATATAAATTTATATCATATATTATATGACAATACTTTCTTATTCAAATGGTAGCAGCCATTTAGAATTTCTTTTATAAACCTCATCATCCTTTAGTTCCACCTATTGGAATCTTAGCGTTTCAGTAGCAGTGCTTATAATTGTTTTCATTCAGACATGGTTTTTACTATACTACACTTATACTAACTAAATTATGGTGATTGGATATTGAAAATCGCAAATCATTCAGATATGATTTTACTATACTGTACTTATACCAACTATATAATGACATAGTACCTCTAAAGATTTAGGAAACTTAAGTTTACTGTATATTGTACTTCTTCAAAGTTGCAAAGAAATTTTTGTGTTTATTGCGCTGTGCGGGTCTATATACTTTTATTTATTGACTGTCAGGACCCGCATGTGCTAGGTATGCTATAGTTCTATATACCACCGCATATAGGGCTCAGCTATTTATAATCAGATAAACTTTTTAAATTGTTTATTGTTAGTACCGCTTCTCTTTTAATAATGACAAATTTTAAGCCAGAAAAGTTTTCAAATGTGTTTTGTTGATCTATAGATATACGTTTTTTTTTTGAGGGCTTATTGAAGGCAATAAATACAAATATAACAAATGATAAAATTCTGGTCATTACCATTATATGTCTATATTAAACTATAGATATACTTTTTTTGAAAGCTAATTGGAGACAATTAGTGTAAATAGAACAAGAGTGAGTGAGTTATTTTCACCTTTCTGATTTTTTTTTTTAAACAAAGTAAAGTAAACATAAATATTTTTTATAACAAAATGTTAAAGGGTAAAGACAAATGTGATGAAAAATATAATTTTATTTATATTAAGGCACAAGAATCTTTCTGACACGTAAGTATTAACCACTTTGTATGTGCTTTGGAACAATTGTTCAGTTTAACGAAGTAATGCACATCGCTTAAACCGCTGAGCTGCAGTTTAGTCACATATCATAAATAATATAATGGTTTATTCGCGTTAAATAACTACTTACCACAATAGCATATGTTGTTCTGTTAAAATAATTTATGCTACCCTAAGTTTGAACTGTATAAAAAGGGACCTACTAGTTGAAAAGAACACTGCGTCATTGTGTAGATCCATTGCAAAAATTGTCAATAAAGTACAGTTCCTCATATATATAGATCGACGAATGTGAATTGGAGGATTGAAGTGTATTCTTCTATAAAAAGCTCTCTTGCTCATGAACTTGAAGCCCCTTTTTTACTGACTTAATAGAGTTGCCATCCTATAGCAAAGCTTAAAGATTTATAGATTTATCAGGCTGAATCATTTTTATTGAAATGGGAAAGTCGTGCCTAATTCAATATTATTTGTGTGCTGACTATTGCGGTATTTATATCTTTTCTGCTGGTCTTACTACTCTGGCGTGTTAATAATCACGTGATATATCAATAATATTATTTATCCGTGATATGGCAATGGCTTATTCTTTGTTATCCATGATATTGCAATGGCTCATTCTTTGTGCTTATTAAATTTTATGTATTCGGTATAACTTTTTTTGAATCTTCTATTCTAGTATTACTAGAAAACTATTCTAGTATTACTAGAAAAGAAGATTAGTATTCTAAAGATTAGTATTCTAGTAGTACTTGCATTGTATTAGCATTATAGTCTTGGTCTCTACGCTTCCATAACCAAACCAATTCATTTTTGGGACTTGGTGCAACGTCTAATCTCCATTCATCATGTCTATCAAATATGTTTAGGTCACCAGATACATCATCGATCCAACAATATTTTGTCCGATATATATACTGAATTATATTGTAAAAACTACTATAAATGTATAAGTAGTAGTTATGAATTAAGAAATTTATTTTTGTTATAATTTTAATTAAAATAATGAAAAAAATAACTAGAACATGAATTGTAATTAAGAGGAGTGATGTTGATACCACATAAATCGCAGCATCTAAGCTGTAAAAGTGCGCATGTGTTTAAAGAAAGAAAAAAAATTATATTTCTATACACGTTAGGCTGCATCCCCCGGTCGATTTTTCGGAACATGCGCAACTCTGCAGGCCATCGTCGTGGCCAACGTGCATGCAGGGCCAACAAGGGTAAAATAAGTGTTGTTTCTTTCGGTTTTGTTTCTGACTTTTCTTTCTTCAATAAATGTCGACAGCATCAACATCGTCTCCTTCTCGCCAATTAGCAGAAGTTGTGGCATAACATCGTCCATTTTATGCTGACTAATACAGGAGGTAGGCGTGGTTCCATACAATGATTGATTATTATTTCTTTTATTATTAATTTTTTTTCTTTTTCCACTTTGTGTATAATGCGACTGTTCAATTTATTTTCTTTTGACTGCCACTGCCGCCTGCGAAAAGGCATGGAAATTTATTTCGATCTCAATCAATACATACCGGCGTACAGACTTTGAATAATATCTCCCAACAAAAGCAATGAAAATTAAATTTTTTTTAATAATTTTTTTTCTTTTCTTGAAAATTAGAATTAAAAATTTCAACTTACTTACATTCCGACAAAATGTAACAGATACAAAGGAGACAAAGGAAAATTCAAACTTTTTTATTTATAAATTCCAACATATGAGTAGCGAAGACAAACAATTTAATTAAGCTATCACTGCGGCTTTTGTTCACATGAAAATGCCACCAACTGTCACTTTGACATTTTTAATGTGTCATTTTGCATTGATAGTTTCAATAAATATTAAAAAAAACATTCTTTTTGGACACTATTTTTAACAGTGTATACGTATTGTTCGGAATCTTCTTCGACCCAAACATTTTAGACGGCTTCCACTTGTTAAAATGCGTTTCTCGAAATTAGTACAAAAGACTAAGAGTTCAAACTAATATTCATATATAGAGATAATCTCTAAATAAACTGTTTAAATGTATAATCCTTCCCTTCTTGCCTTTTACCTGAAAGGCACAAAGAAAGGTTTAATATTTTTGAATTGCGAAAGGATTAAGGATGACTGTGTCTTACCATGGAGAGAATAGCGTTAATAATGCGTCATTAACGCTTTAATTTGACTTTACATGAGTGTGCAATATTTAAAGAATTTTTTTTTGTTCTTTTTGAATTTTTTTTCAGTTATTTATTTTAAAAAAAATGTATAATACATATTTTTAAAATATATATTTAGTAAAGTTTTTATCTGTATGATGTATATGTTCTATTTTTTGTAGTATTTTATAAAAATTAGTTCATTAAGTTAGTAAGGATTCTGGTTTTTTATATTTTTAATTTTTACTTATAATCGTTTCCCTTCGATCCTTAAGGAGTATTAACGCTTCACTGAAGTCATCTCAGTAAGACAACTGCATACCTAATGCAACCTCACCTCAATCCATAAACGTTTCTCTCAGTTTGCTTTAATAACAAAATTTTATTTTTAACTTTTATATAAGTTTTATTTTTTTATTTACATTTTATTTTTTTTTTATTTAATTTTATTTATTTCCTATTTAATTTTTTTAATTTTTTTTTTTTTATTTAATTTTATTTTTTTATTTATATTTTATTTTTTTTTATTAAAATTTTTTATTTTATTTTTTTTTATTTAAATTTCATTTTTTTTATTTATATATTAATTATTTCATTTGAATTTTATTTATTTTATTTATGTATCATTATCATTATCCATATCTATACAGTCCATGTAGGACCTAAGCTTGTTTTACGACATTCCTCCATTCTTCTTTTTTTTTTGGCTTTTATTTTCTAGTTGATGACATTAATATCTTTCAAATCTTATTGAACACTATCACTCCATCGATCTTTCTCGATCTTCCTTTTCTCGTTGTTCTAATTTCACTTTTGAAGATTTTGGCGTCCGCACAATGTGTCCTACCCACTTCGTTGCTTTTTTATGTGCTTGATTATTGTGTTATATGCGATACTCCGCTTTCTTCAAATATTTTGTCCCATAATCCTTCTTTCAAATACCCACAGATTGTGTGCTTCGGTATCAGTTCTTTGTTTATATATATATTGTGAAAATCTGTATTATTATTACAATCTTTATTATTATTATAATCTGTGTTATTATTACTATTGTTGAGGATTAACATAATAAAATATAATTATTTAAATAATAATTGTAGTCACTTCCAAGTAATAGTAGAAATAATCTGAAAAAGTAAAAAGTGATTTTTTAACAAATTAATTGAATTATAAATTGTATATATATATGTATATATATATTTGTATGTTATGTACCTATCTTAATATATGATTATATATGTAGCTATGGTAATTATTATAATTTATATGCAGGAGTATGTGAATATCTCTGATTAATTTTTAAAGAGTAAAGTGTATGAAAGCAAATAATTTGAATTTGCCTGAACCTGATAAGGAAAATAAGTATGAGAAAATCAACTTATACGTTTTTTGATATCTGCTACTGAGTGGGCTTATCAGTAGTACAAACAAAAAAAAAAAGAATGAATCAGTATAAAAACATATAACTACAAAACTCTCTTAAATTGGCGAAAGGCCTATCGCTTTAGTTTTATTTAAACATTGCATAATTACAGACACAGAAATTTCTTTCGCCCCTACTTTAAACTTTTACTATACAAAAAAGTCAAACTATTAAAAATATATAGAAATAAAAACAAATAAAAATAAATAAAATTAACAAATTTATAAAAAATTACTCAAAATGAAAACATTTATTCATAAGGTGCGTGAAAAATGCAAAACAAAAAAAATATTTTTATTCCATTTCGTTAAAGCAAAGTCAAGAGAATATAATCGTGATAGTGATATACTATTTTGTGTAAATAGTAGACTTATTCTATTGTTTTGATTTGCAGGAAAGTGAAATCGTTGAAGTACTTTGGAAACAAGATGTCGATTTGGGTTTCAGCTTGACTTCAGAACTGCAACTGAATTCAAATACTGGCGAAAGCGATATCGACCTTCTCAAAACTAAACAATTGGATTCCAGTCAACAAGATAATGAAGACATCAATAAACTAAAGGCTCTTGAAGAACTCAAATTAGATAAGGTAAGCCATGAGCCACACTGCCATGTGGAAATATTTTATGTTTATGTAAATGTTCAAATCTGAAATTTAGAATTTCACAATTTCTATAAGATATTATGTATATTTTAAAAATATTAGAACTTATTTAATTAGGTTTTTATAGAGTATAATTCGTTATAAAGCTTTTAGTCTATAAAATCTCGCTTTCCTCACCTATAGAATAATTAATAAAATAAATATATATCTACGCTATTTTTTTTTTATTATAAATTCAAAAGGTTATGTACTTGTACATGATTATTTTAAAATATATTTGCATTATTTAAAAAACAATATGTTAAAAAAAAGGTATAAAAAATATTATATATATATATAATATATATATTATTGAAATATATATAAATAATATAAATAATCGTGCATCAAAATCTAAATGTTATTTTATTTTATTAGACTTATTAGATTTTATTTTATTAGATTACAAATGGTTTTGCAAAACAATATTTTGTGGATAGCAGTTAAAAATTGTTTTAAAAGTGTTTAATTAAGTAAATAATTTTATTATATATAGCAGACAATGGGTGGGAGGTATAGTAAATTTGTAATAATGTTGTTACTTTTCGTGGAGCCCCGAAAGATCCGTAGGGTAGTACAGTAGATTTGAAGCTTATCCGTTTCATCATATTAGGAGGGTATAGCGAGGAAAGTTTGAAATTTTGACGAACTATTGAATTGGAATATAAGGGACCGAAACGGATGAGTGGAGGTTATAGATATATATATATTTAGTTTACCCTGATTCGATTAGATGTATACAATTTAATGCATCACAAGTAACTATTCAGTAAATTATTGCAACACTACTCAAAGAAAACTGTACCTAATAAAACATTACTTAGCTTTATCTTTAAAATATATTTTTCAATGAGATATATATATATATAATTCTTGGTCTACATGTCACTGTTCGATAGTGAATTTGTTAGTGAATTGAAAAAAATGAATGTTTCAGTTGATTTTTTTGCAAAAAACGATATACATTATATATTTTCTAACATTTATAAAATTTTTTTTTGCTTTAGTTTTTATTAATATTTTTATTTTATTTATATTTTTATTTTTTTTAATTTATTTATATTTTTATTTTTTTTAATTTATTTATATTTTTATTTTTTTTATTTTATATATATATTCTTATTTTATTATATAGTATTTTTTTTTCATTATTTTTTATTATTAATTTATTTTTTTTTTTTATTTTTTTTTTTTTTTATTATTTTTGTTTTTAGTTTTTGAATTTTAATTTTATCGTCTACATTGTTCCTTTAAACGTTTCTATATTTAGTTTATTTTATTTTTTTTTCTAATGACAAAGCTATTTTTTATTAGAATTTTCTTTGATAGCCGGTATCTCGGTTAATATTGAAATGGGCATTCTCCATGGAAATTTATAGTTTTTTGAATCAAAGAATGATTTTTTCTTTGTTTCAAATCATTCTTTGATTCATGAAATTGAATTGATATTATTTATTAAAGAAACATTGTTTTATATCATAGCCAAAATAAGTAATTTATATGTATATATATTTATGTTTCCTATATATATTTATTATGTTTTATGTATATGTTTTTATTGTAGTTTATTATTAAAGGTTTTCAAATCAAACTCTGAAAATCAATTAGGTAATTCTATTTTGTGCGATTATTCCATAGAAATTTCATCAACCGAATTGCAGAGTTTGGTCTGAACACCCATTTAATTTTTATAAAATGTTTCTGTTATATATATTTAAATTATAATTATATATATAAATGTAATTTCATAAAAATTTTATCAAATGAATTGTAGAGTTTGGTCTGAACACCCATTTAATTTTTATAATATATTCCTGTTATATATGTTTAATTTATATATATAATATGTTATTTTTATAGCTTAAATATGACTCTAAAGATAATAATCATGATGAAGATATTGGTGATGAATGGGCTGGAATACCATTTATTATAGATAATGAAACTGGTAAGTTATACATTTATTATATAAAAATTTAATTTAATTTGAGAGTATTTTAATATAATGAGAATTTATAAGAAAAGAACAATATAGCACTTAACAAAATAGTGGAAGAGATAAAAGAAAGATTATCATATTTAATGTTGCAAATTTGTACGTCTTTTAGGTATAAGAGTAAAAACATACTTATATCTTTTGCTATACAAATAAATACCATAATAATATTATAATATACAAGTTACAAGATTATATTAAGTGTGATATAGAATATCTTATCAGTGTTTTTTATGGTAACAGTGGTGGGAGGAAGGTGGGGAGATACTCCTGCGTTTGAAACTTAAAATAGGGAAATTGTCTGAATAAAAAGGCGTAAGTCTATCAGAACAAATTATACCAAGTGTAAAAACAAATAAATTTTCAACAACTCTACACTTGCCACTGCTCTGTTCGCATCGATAAGACTTATAACATAAATATCTACATGCATATATATTTATATATCTTTTGTTTTAGGTATAGTCTAAAATGAAAGATAAAGCAATGCTCTCGTAAAGATAAGTTTTATTTTGTTATTGCGCTACAATTTTTATTGTATTCACAAAATTGGCATACATAAATAATACTCGTAAAACTTCACACAATTAAAAATAAATAAAGAAAAATTTCGTTTCATAAATGAATTTAACATTATTTCATAAAATATAAAATATAGTTAACATGCAAATAAAAAATTGGAAGTTTAATTTATTTAAAGAAAAAAGTAAAACTTAATAGAATTAATAGCCAAAAGACTTTTAACTTTGGCTTGGGTGTAAGAGCTTATTTCTTTTCTATTACACATAGAAATTGCGTAATACACAATATTTGTTATATTTGACTAAATAATTTAATTTATTTTTTCTTCATTACAATGACGTGTTTAAATGTCATAAACATTTTTCGTGCCTAAATCGAATTGAACGGGTGCGGCTTAACACAGCACGGTAGAGACGTTTTATCCCTCAATCTTTTTATCAACTTTGGCATGCACATAAATTTTATCAGAAGCTGCTGCTAAACCATTCAATGTTGTTGTTCTATCCACTCTATCCACTCTTGGGACTATTGTGCTGCTATAGCGTTACACTACTTCCAACACCATCATAGGATCCACTGTTGGATTTTTATTAGTAGCAACAACTGGCAGTGCACAAAGCCGCTTTGAGAAATGATCGAAACATGATTTGCCAAAAAGTATTGCCCTCAGCTCAGCTTTTTCCTCATACATATTATGCACGAATATGGTGGCTGCCATGCTGCTATAGAAAACCCTCCTCACGATTCCAAAAAAAAAAAAACAAAAAGAAAAACCAACATTGCTTGCTTTTAATTCATAAACGCATACTATATGTACACATACCATAATACCATAATACCATATAACATATATACGTGCTTACCCGTGTATCTATTTCACTTTATTTGTACAAGACTTGTAGGTCGTCCTAATAATAAGCACATTGCTTTAATTTCTGACTATTGTTTTCGGCGGCAGTATATATATGTATATATACAAACATACATCTGTATATATGTATATTAATTTTATTAGATAAAATGAAGTTTTTATTAAAAACGAATTCTGAAATATGCCGCATGCAATATAGAAAGTCATTTGAAGTTTTACGCTAATGTGAAAGCAGTACCGCAACTTCATTTTAAGTCGAATGTATAATGTTAGATTGACTTAAACTCTTAATTACCCCAAGGGTTTACTCTGTAACTATTAAAATAAACGATAATATCTAATTACAATATATATTGACTTTTAAGTCAGAACCCCTTATTTTAAATTGCTTATTAAGTGTCTGAAATCTATATTATATATGGTTTTAGATATCATCTCACTAATTTAAATATTATTTTTATAAATAATATATATTAATTTATTTATTTTATATTTATGAATTATTTATTCAAGCTTTCTGAGAGGTACTTTAAAAAAAAAACCATAACTTGGAAGCTCGGAGTTAGTGACAATTATCCAACTGACCCACAGCAGTACTTGACTTTTATGTTCTGACTTGGAGTTTTGTTAATTTACTTTGAAATTTTATCAACAAGTTCAGTTACTCTGTTATATTAACGAAATATCAAAGCAATCGAATTTTTTAATATAACTTTAAAGAAAATTAACAAAACTCCAAATTAGAACATACAAGTTAAGTACGACTTTGAGTCAGTTGAATAATTAATACTAACTCTCTGAGCTTTAAATTTGATAGTGCATGAGTTCAATCCTTTGTAATTGTAGTCTCAAAAAATAATTTAAAAATATTTAAATACTATTTAATACAGTTGTATGGTCAGTCAAAAATTCAATTAATTGATGAATAATAAAAATTTTGTTGTTGTAATTCACTACTGTTTAAAAGTAGCTATCTAACATGGTTTCTTTCCTAATAATTGACTTTAAAAATCAGATTAAAAAAACCAAAACTCGTAATATTCTTTTTTTTAATATTTTTGAGTCCTTATTAACATAATCAATATTTATATGTCAGCATTTCGGTCAAAATAATATGTGCGAATATAGTAGTTAAATATTTGTTCAACTTTTATTTGTGATAGCAAAAGAATATTTATCTTGGGACTTCTATATTTATCTGATAGAAGAAAATCTTCATTGAAAGCTATTTTGATAATCTCAACTTTGTTAAATGCAGTTCCTAGTACAAAAGATTTACTATTATCAGAAAGAACAGCTACACTGGCACCCTAGAACACTTTCATCTTCCAATTCTTAATTCTATACCTATTTAGTTACAGACTTTTTAAAAGTAATTATTACATTTAGTTAAATGTGTTAATACTTAACTATTTGTCAAATTGAATGGACACTAGTGTAAATAATGTGTGGTATTTATGTGTTAATGCAGTGGTGAAACCAAAATTTAACTAAGGGGTGTTGTATATTTTAAAGCAATATTTAAACGATATTAATATAACCCTAGGGCTTAACAATGATAAAGAAAGTAGGGAAAAATGAAATAGATGTGACGAAATTGTGCTGAAGTTTTGTAAATGATTAAAAGGTTTCAAGTAGAAAAGCAAAAATAAATATATGTCATTTGTTGTTGTTTCTTCAATACTGTTCGAACCCTTCTAGTTTGTTTTCGTCATAAGAAACGTCACATTCAACAAAAAAATCAACGTTATAAATATACATTTATCTTTTAGCTAAATTTAAAAAGTAAATTTAAATTTAAAAATAAAAATAAAGACAATTAGAACTTAAACTTGTTTACAACATTTGTTGTTGTGTTAACGCCTTATAGCCACCACCATTTTGTTTAACATTCATTTATTTCGTGATAAATTTTATTTCATTTTTAAATCTCTTTCCAACTTACCTGTAATTTATTTCTTTGATTTCCAAGCCGACATCATTATTATATTTTCCTCTGCTGCAGTACATGATTTTTTGAAGAAACATATCTTATGAATTTTGTGCATTTTATAATAAATTCCCCAAGGAGTCTCAACTATGCTACCACATTTTAAATTCTTTATTTTGTGTTTTATTCTAGAAATAGATATACTCTTTAAATAATTAAAAGTCATTTTTAAATGTTTTATTTTCTTTACAATATCATTTTTAAAAGTCACATTCGCTTTTATATGAACTCTCACGATGATATTTTCTTCAAATGGAAAAAATCGTGCACATTCGTAAATTCTTCACACCTTTTCGACATTCTTGTAATTTTTTCACTTAATTAATTATAATTTTTCTATTAGTTTTTGTGATTTTTCTTTCTTAATAATAAGAAAAACTACGAATTGAATTGTCAATAAATTTAAGGGATTTAAAAACATCTATATATGTTAACAATACCAGATGATTATTAATAATTTTTTATTGAAACCATTGGATTTTGTTATTATGTTATTTGTACTTTCTGTACATATATACCTTATATATAATATGTACGTATACATTATATATATACATATAGTGATATTATATAGTGATGTTATCCATTTCATAAGAAGCTCAAATGTATTGAATATCTTTCAATTCTCTTCATTCTTTTCTCCTTCAATGAATTTACAGATGAATTTGTCGTAGACATTCATGTACAATACTTTATTTTAAGATATACAATTGCTTATTAATAATAATTATAACACTGAAGATGGATCGAAATATTGTTAAATAATTATATACATAATTTAAGAACTGCGATAATTTTTATTTAATCTTAAGTTTGTTTTTATAGAATATAAGTTATTAAAGATGGATCAAAATATCTTTTAAATAATTATATATTTATTAAGAACTGTGATATTTTTTATTTAGTTTTGTATTTGTTTTAATATAATGTATAAGTTTTATATAAAAATATAATTTTTAAAAACATAACCTAAAGCTCGGCAAAATTTAAACTTTTTGTTTATTAATCGTTTTTCAAAATAGTCAAAATAATTTCTTTAAATGAATTATACCATTTGTATAATAAAACTATCTAAGCATATAAAAAAAATATCAAAAATATTTAGATGTTTTTTAGGAATATGCCAAAAGAATTTTCTAGTATTGAAACGCAAGCAAGCCATGAATTCAAACATAAGCTATTAAGTTTCTTATATATTTAAATAAAAAATAAGAATATTTTAGGATTTAAGCAACAGCCGCCATGTAGTCTAACATAAACCAGGGCTTCGAACCGGAATTTTTTCCGTTCCGTTTCTAAACAAAAAAAAAATATCGGATTTTTCGGTACGGTTCCGGTTCGTAGCCCTGAAATAAACTTCTGAGTTAGTCATTTATTCAAAAGGAATTTTTAAAGAAGTAGAAACACTAGTTATAAATTAGACATAATTTCTCGAGTTAACTCTATACTTAAATAGGTACGTTTGACTCAGCCATCTATTTTACTAAAAGTTTTTAAAAATTGGAGTGAAAAGCTGTGCGATTTGGAGTTTATTATTTGTGTATTTTTATAGATTTTTTTAGAATTGTT